TATTATTTTGAGACATAAATATATAATATTTTTGAATTAATGTAATAACTATTTACATAAAATATAAATTACTTCCTTTTTCTCAAAATAATAGACTTTTTTTTTTATTTTGAGATTTGTCACAAAATAATAATTGTTTCTACATTTTTTAAATTTTTAAATGAGACAAAAAATTTGTTTTTAATTTAATATTATGATTATTTTTTAACTTTAAATATTTATCATATCAAAACATTCTTTTTATTTTATAAGTAAAAATAAAAATTATATTAAAATTTTTAATGCAAAACAAAAATAAAAAATATTTATTATTTAGAGATAAATGAAGTAAATTTTAAACATTACTTTGAACATGTGAAGATTTATACTTCCTCCATCACGGGATAATAGATAATTTCTTATAGAAATTTTTTTGCAAAATAATATTTTTATTTGAGACACTCTTACAAAGTTTCAACTAATTTAAACTGACATTTAATGGTATGGTTAGTGATTAGGCATTACTAATTAGAAGCATTTCACTTTTGTGGGCCTTCCAATCGAATATGAAAGAGAGGACAAGCAAAAGTGATTGCAAAGGTACACAAAGCATGAAAATTTGTCCTAAATTATTTCCTAAGGTGGAATGAAGACGTGTGTGTGTCTCTGTATGTAGTCTAGTTCCAACAACAGAAAAAACTTTAGGAATCTGGGTTGGAATCTCTTTTATCCTTTTGAGCTAACTTTGGATTAAGGTCCATAATTTAGTCGGCAATGGGTAATTATTTACCATAATCTACCATACAAGGCACATGCATAGCTTGTTTTAATTAAAGTCAAAATTCGTTATATATATGAGATTAATTAATTTAATTGATCGAGGCATTGATCTTTTTTATTTTCAATTATATAGATTCTGTTGTGCTTTGGCCTTTTTTTTTTTTTTTTGTAATTCATCCACCAGATTTTGCCATTTTGCAAGTGGGCATATTTTAGAACAAGATTTAACTCCATTTGTACTTATAAGAACAATTTTCAATGTCCTAACTTTTGTTTTGCTACCGACCAAAAACAAAAGGATGATCATTGTGCCTTCTGTAAATTGTTTTTTTTTTTTTTTTTTTGTTGATTGGTTACATAATGGGAGGTAATTCTTTTTCATCTTTTTTCTCACCTCACCCGCATACTATGCAATTCAAATTTAGAATCTCTAACTTTCAATAAAAAAAATTAATCACTAAAATATTTATGTAGTTGACTTCTTTAAACTATTATTATCAGTTAATAACACAAAAAAATTGTAATAGTCTTAGTTCATATATTCTCCACTATTAAATATGATTTTTTTTATTTAATGATAGATTATACATGATAAATTATATAATAAAAATAATTTTTTCTGTTTTAAAATCCTCTTTAATTATCTATCTCAAAATTTAAACTTAAAATTGTTAATATAAAAACCCACATCCTTACGCTCTCAGGAAACATTATGAGATGCGGTTGTCACTTTCATAACAGCGCTACTCCTCGATAATTAATTGGGTGCATATGTTCCTTCAAAACTGTGACTAAATGTTATTGGAACCACTTCTTGTTCTTAATGCAAAGAGTTCACACTTCTCTACATCTGGTTCTTAATTACATGACAACTACCATTGTTTTAACAAGATATCCTTAGAGCTTGAACCAAATTTTAAGGAGAAGAAAACTGCATCTAAATAAAGTAACAAAACTTGAACTAATGGACAAGTGCACATGACAACTGCTGTTTTAATATTTAAATAATAATAATAAT